ATAGACCGGCTTCGTGAATGAGGCGTACTAGCGGTAAGACGACTTTGTTCTTATACATATATATATATATATATATATATATATATATATATATATATATATATATATTATTAAATCATCATAATATAAGTATAAGGGTTGAATTTTAACTTTTAAAATTCTAGGGGTTGGAACTAAAGTTTTAACTTAACTTTACTTGTTCCAAAACTTGAGGGCAAGTTTTGTAACTTTCAAAACTTTTCATTTCTTGTAACTTATGAGTTTAATAGAGTAATAAAATGAAGACTCTTCATTTTCTAACTCTTGTGTTCTTTTAATGGTTTTAATTCAAGTGTGACTCTTGGTTTTCCATAACTTGAGGACAAGTTATGGACTCCATTAAAACACATTATGATCAAGAATTAATCTACCACATAGGTTACAAATAATTCCTATGATCATCTAAAACATCATAAGAACAAGAACATGAATATGAACACAGTCAAAAATCAAAATTACACTTAAAACTTTGTAATTTTGATAACTAGTTGTTGTAAATGAATTAGAAAGAACATTACACCATCAAAACAAGTTTTCAAGTACCAAAACAGTTTACGGTAATGTTTCTAGTCCATTTCCAGCAACTAAAGTCGAAATTCTGCAACCTGTCGACCCTACTCGCCGAGTGCATGAACTTACTCGCCGAGTTGGTTGAAGATACACGTGAACTCGACGAGTCCCCCTTATGGACTCGACGAGTCCATTCGTAGACAGCAAGATTTTCGACTTTTTTCAACTTTTAAGCACAAATAAAAAGAAAACAAACCTAGCTCTGATACCACTGATGGGTTTTGAGCATTCTAACACTTCCTAAGTGTACATGCAACCCTAATAACCTTTGATCTATGTTTGTCTAATTATCATGCAAAGTTGAATTCTGAAGAGGCCTTTAGATCAATCGATATATCAAACAAAGACAATAAATAAGAACAAGAGAAATTCACGAAGAAAAACTTTCACTAAGAAAGATAATCTCACAAAGAGATTATCGTGTGCACAAAGCGACGATTAGGGTTTGTGAAAGCGTGCAAATTCACAAACCTGTACAAGATAATATATACTATTATTCTAGACAATCCCTACAATTCAGGGATACGCTAGCTAATAAATCAAGATAACTAAGGAAACAGAATAAATACATGATTTGTTACAATGCAGTGAATAAACTAAACTAATACAAACTGAGCAGTTACACGCTGGTGCTGATGCTGAGACATGTGCTGACACTGAGTCTGTTTTAAAAATAATCATATTTCAAGGTTTGACCTTACAATCTCCCCTAATATGATGATGTTCAAAACAAACTAAATAAAGACACCTCTGGAAAGAAATTCTTCATACTCAGCTTCAGCTTCAATTTTAACTGGCCAGTAAGGACTGTCCAGCAATTCCTGTCTTCTGTTCAGCAGCTCCATGGCAATAAGAATGTGAAATTCTCCGGATAGATCTTGATGACTCATGCACATTTGCCTTAAGCCAACAAGGTGAGTGGTTGGAGCCTTTGGGATCTCAGTAGTTCGTTGAAAGCACATCCTCCTATTTTTGTCTAGATAGAACATCCCATGTTCAGGAGCTGAGATGAATTGATCCTGAACCGGATCAACACCTAGAGGAAGTGAATTGTTAATTACACCAGCACCAAAGTCTAGAACCAATACATCTTCACCATCAACACGAAACTTGGTTCTTCGAGATCTAGGGACTGACGACCTTTGGCCTTGATGTTGAGGTCGTTCTTTAGGAACAAGATCCAAACGCTAAACTTTCTTGATCAGCAGATGAAGAGCACAGGTCAGTTCTGAAGAGTGAGCTGAGGTTTGCTTGGATGCAAGATCGAGCAGTTTCATCCATTCCGAATACCCATATCTAATCAGCTCATCCCTCTTGACAACTTCAGTATATGAGTGCTGAGGACCTTGACGAGTGATCAGCAACGTAAGGATTTTCTCGTTTCAAGGTTTAGAAGCTTTGACTTTGATGATCTTATCTCCACACATTCACCGATTAAAAACATCTTCAAATCTCTTTCGATCAATCCGGTCAAGAACATTGTCAATCTTAGGCTTGCTAGAGCTAGGAGGAGGTTGAGAAGACTGAGCCTTGGACTGAAATTCCAGGAACTTCTGCATCTGAGCTTCACAAGATCCCTTAGCTTGAAGTTTGTGCTGAATAAGAGATTCATCAGCTTGAGCAATGTTCTTTAGAAGCTGAGCTCGATTGGCTTTATCAAGAATTTGCTTGACTTGATCAGGGGACATGTTCCATTCAGTGGCAAGGTTTGAAATACTGACAATGGACTTGGGTTTCTTCACAGTTGAAGAAGTATCAGTTTGAGAATGATCCAAGTCAGTATCTGCTACCTTCCGCTTTCGAGACAGCGGATGAGATTCTTCACTGGCAATGTCCGAATCCTCTCCTTGGACCGGAATGATGGGATCAGCAATAGGATCGGTTAATATCGGATGAGATTCTTCA